TGTCCCGTTTTTTCTTTTATCTAATTTATCATAAATTATATAATATAATTAAATAAAATAATTAAGTGATTTATTTATTTTACTAATTATTTTAATTATATATGAATATTTTTATTTATTTATTTATTTATTTATTTATTTGTTCATTTATTTATTTTTTTCTTCGTTTTTACTAGTCTCTTATTATTTTTATTTTGTTTTATTGTCATATTAAGTAATTCATTATTATTCATTATTTTAAATTAAATCTTTGGATATTTTTTATCGTAATCCTTATTATCTTTTATAGATTATTATTAAATTAAATAATTATTTATTAATTATTATATCATGTATTTTCTTCGCATTGATGATAAATAATTAATTTCTTAAAAAAATTAAAATAAATATATATATACATATATATATATATATATATATATATATATATATATATATATATATACAAAAAGAAAGTATTATAAAAACAGCTGAGAGAAAATCAAGAGTGCAACTTGTTAAGTCTGAAAAAAAAAAGGATGGAATAAAATTATTTGCATTCGGTACGTGTAATATAAGTTTCTTTTTTCTTTTTTCTTTTTTTTTCTTTTTCTCTTTTCGGAATAAATCGAAATTGAGTAACTTATTATTGAGGGAAGTTTAACCTTGATCCCAAATGAACGATAACTGCAGCCGGATACAAACGAAGTTGTCTGTGTAATCGATTCACAGCACGAGTTCAACCTACATTGACAAGTTCCACTTTTTTTTAGTGATCTGTATTCCAGTCAGATAATATTAGCTTTGTATTTATGCGAAAAGAAAGAAAAAAAGGAAAAGAAAAGAAGAAGAAAAAAAAAAAAAAGAAACAGATCGTTACTTTTCTCTCGTAGACACGATTTATTAGATGACATCGTTCTATTAATCCTTTTGTAATGTCTCGATCATTTCTTTTCAATAGTAAAGATCCTAAGAAATGGGTCAATTAAACTACGAACACGTTTAGTATCTTTATATATATCGATCATTCTAAGATTTAAAAGGTTTTATTCTCAATGGAACATATTTACTAATCAAAATCATATTGACGCGTTATCAAACGTATCGTTAAAAATTTGTAGTAAATTAAAGCGCATAAAAAAATTGATGTCACGACGCATTTAGTGTTTTCATTATATATTATTGACATTTGCCGTCATATAAATTCTTTTCTTTTATTTTCTTTTTATTAAATCTTTTTTTATTTTATTTTCCCCTCAAAAATACAATTCCACGAAGAATATTCCCTTATGAAAATATAAATAATGATTTAAAATGAAAGCTTTAATTGAATTGAGAAGGAAGATTATTTGAAAGAGGTGAAAGTTATCAAGGAAGTTCATACGTGTATGTGAATTGTAAATGATGATGACGTTGAAAGTAAGGGATCGATCGTTCGTAGATAAGACGACAATGATAAATAAATGGTGTAATCTGGCAATAAGAATAGATGATTATACTAGGCATTAAGAAAATAGAAAAGAAATGCTAATGAGAAGAAGATTGAAAAGGAAGAGAATGTTAAAGAGAGAAAGAGAATGCAGAGGACACGAGTCACGTTACAACGGTAAATGCCAATGAAATCCTGTGACGAAGGACGTCGGGTTGTTGCTTCGATGATATATAACTTTAAACCATTTCTAGTAATTCTATGAACAACGGTATTATAATTACATGCATACATACATATATATATATATATATATATATATATATATATATATATATATATACATATATCTACTTATACGTTTACCATTAACAGTGCAAATTAAAAGGAACACATTTGTTTAATATTGTGATTATATATAATCCCAATATGAACATAATTTGAATAATTTGTTGTAATAAATGAATAAATATATATTTTTTAAAGATATATATATATATATATATATATATATATATATATCAAGCAAAATATTTTATTCAATTTTTTCTAAACTTAATAAATAGCTTTGTCGATCTTTTTCATCCTTAGTTATTATCCAAATGAATTTCAAACAAATTCATAATACTTTTTTTTCTCTCGTATTTAAAAAGTAATATTTTATTCTATTCATTCATAAATGTTTCGTGTCGATCCTCTTTCAAAAGTTGCGATCTGAGTGAATTTCGAACGGGGATTACTTTCTTCTTTTATTATAGGATAATATTGTCTGATTAGAATAGATCGATTGGATTCGTTTAATCGTAATGAACGTTTAGATATGTGATATAATGAGAAATAATAGTGAAAATAAAAAACAAAAAACAAAAAAAAAAGAAAGAAAGAAAGAAAGAAAGAAGAAAGAAGAAACAAAAAAAAAAAGAAAGAAAAAGAAGAAAATATTTCTCTGTTGAAAAGTCACGTTAGATGACTCGACATTATTGATAAGTCTCGTCCTATTCAGGAACACTATATATAAAGTGGTACGCGTTAGTACCATATGTTCGATATAGCTGCAAACGTGCGAATATATGTTTCGAAGAGCGCGTGCCT